TACATGAAGAGGATATATTAATCTATTATAACAAAACTTCTATATCTTTAATTATGGCAACACAAAAATTTCAGACTAAAGACTCTAAAATTCTTGGTCTGGGCCTAATACAGTCACAGGATCCTGAAATACAACAAATGCGCTATGCAACAGTTGCACTAAAAGCAATTAAATTTAATCAAGAATATGCTTTGTACAAGATAATAAATTTTATAATAATTACTGCCAAGGAAAAACTTCAAACCGAAAATTTAAATTTATTCTTATTATATTAGGAATGGGGTAATATATAATATCATAAAGTATATGGTTCATATTAGGGTGGAAAACGAACCCAACAGGCTTTTTTTGGAAATTAATTCAGGCCAACTTTCAAAACACTAGTCATATGGTAATTTACCATGTGACCAGTATTTTAAAAGATGGCCTGAATTAATTTTAAAAAAAGCCTGTTGGGTTCATTTCCTATCCTAGTTCATATGGCATTTTTTAGTGATGTATTTTTCACAAAATCACAAATATATTAAATGCAACAAAATGATCAGCATCAGTAAAGTTTAGACCACGCAAAGTTAATTTTTCATTTTGCATAACCTGCTGACTTAATTTTTCTAAAAAAACTTTTATTTTTTTTTAAATTCCTATTGTGCCAATTATTTCATTTAATTTTTTCTCCAGTATCACCCGATTATAGCTTTAATTTTCCGGAAGTACCTGATAGGTCCGAAAAAAAAATCAAAAATTTCTAATTTCATATTATGCAAACTGAAAAATTAACTAACCTTAGATGTGAACATAAATTAATTTAGATTATGCAAAGTTAATTTTTTTTTTTTTTTTTTAAAAAAAAAAAAATAATAATCTGACCCACTAACTGGAATTTTGAAATACCAGGTTATGCAAAATAAAAAATTAAATTTGCATGGTCTTATGTATATATATGTAAATACTCAGGTATATACAGGATTGAGTTATGATAACTAGAAGTAAACTGGGTTTTAAATACACTACACTGTTATTTCAGTCATAGAGCCTGCAACCTATTTAGTAAAAGTTTATTCACTACTACAGTAGCTATAGAGCCTAAAACAAGGTCTTTGTATTGCTACTACAAAGCCTAACTGCCAAGGTTCTCATATTGCTACTATAGCCTAATTGCTACAAAAGCACTACAGAAGCAAAATCCTTATACTACTGCCTAATCGTTACAAAAACAAAATCATTGTACTACTGCAGTAGCTGCAAAACTTCATAGTTACAAAAATAAAAAAAATAAAATAAAACCAGGTCTTTATCGCTACTGCCTAATATTAACCTTGTCACACAAGTCAACCGTCAAGTATTTAAACTAAGCTTTTTTTTTATTAAAAACATCTTCTTTAAATATACTACATTACATCTTTCTCTCTCTGTCCTGCCAATCTGATTCACGCTTGAAGCCATATGAAAATACATCTTTACTTTAGCACTAATTTGTTAATATTCATATCTGTTTACCACTTAATGACATAAACTTAACTAATAAAAACCTAATCTAACAAGACCAACACAGCAACCTATAAAAGGTCAATTTAAGCATGTGATCCATAAAGTTATCTGATCTAGCAATTCGATGACAAGCTACAAATTATTAAAAAATTAAATTACTTTTGTCAAGAACATCTTATCAATTATAATGATAGAAATTGAAAGTTATTAAACTTTACTATCACCAGCATCACCAGTATCACTAGCGCCACCAGTATCACCAGCATCACCAGTATCACCAGCACTACCAGTACCACCAGCATCACCAGTATTACTAGCACCACCAGTATCACTAGCATCACCAGTATCACCAATACTACTAGTAATACCAGTATCACCAATGCTGATTGGTGATTGGTGATTAGTAAAAAGTAGTATATCATTAGAATTTTAATTCACCTGCAACCCTAGTCTGTATATCTCACTTCACTTTGCTTCTTCTTTCCATAATAAATTCATATCATTGTCCGAAAGTATATAAGAACTTTGAAGCTCCATGCCTATATCACACGTGTTTGTACATTCTAAAAACAACATGCCACGTGAGATACATCTTTCAAGTACCAGATCTAGTTATTTTATTTGTCAGCACTGTCCATTTTATACATGTTGTTTTGTTATCGTATAGTTTTTTGATATAGAAGTGGTTTGCCAAATTCCTCACTTTTTGTTGAAAAATATGGCCAAAATACTAAAGAAGAAAAAAGTATAGATATTGCGAGTATCCAACTAAAAAATGTTTTTCTAATTGTTCTTTGCCACCTTCCATCATCAAACAAACTTAGTTTTCTTTTTTACTTGCTGTTCCCAGAAACTTCTCTGGTTTGGATACCAAATATACAAGGGAGTCTACTCGAGACAAAAAGAATAGAACCAAGGCTTGACTCTTGTGCGAACCGTCCAAAATGCCTGCTCCTCAGTGTATCACGTTAAAAAATTTCGTTGACAACAGTTTGTATTAAGAAAATCTAAGGTTGGTGTTAACTTTTGGTCTTGAGTCTTCAAATTGTATTCGGTGAATAGTTGGTACAAGTGATCATTAGAAAGAGTTATTCTGAATAGTATATTAGTATTAATTATTATTTTATTATTATTTAGTTATTATTATTATTATATTATTAGTTATCTTAAAATAGAATTTAAAAATATATATAATAATTAGTAATTAATACTTAATTGGTAATTCGCTGGCCACTTAATTAGGGTTGAAGGCACAGGATTAAAAGACATACCCATGGCATACCTCCAGAGGCATGCCTAGAGCATATCCTTTGACCAAAAAGCATGCTTCTATTATATGATATAGGGCTATTATATAATTGGTCAATTATTAAATTAGCCAATTAGAATTAAAGCCTACTATTGCTAATTACAATAATATATGATATATATATCTATAGAGGGCATGCTCTGGGATAGAGGAGCATGCTCTTTGCAAAGGCATGCCCCCAGAAGCATGCCCCAACCCTACACCTAGTGCATGATCATAGTGTAACATAATGCAGATCACTATGTAAATCACATATATTTGAATGTGACATTTATCTAAAAAAAAAACTTTTTTGGACTACCCCAGTAGGACCTACAAAGATGCACCAATTAGGAACGTTTATCGATATCGATCATTTCACATGATGCAGCAACCAATCAAATCATGTAAATTATTATAACAATTATTTTAATTTTTTAAGTTTA